CCCCACATGTCGTCTAACTTAAGTGCGACATTCCTTCTATTAAAATACTAAAATTCATATGGACATTGTTAAATTCCTTTCTGTTTGGCAACTCAGGTGTGGAACGTGCGTGAATGATGTTTCAAACATAAATGATGAGGTTCTTTGCTAAGACCTTTTTGAAACCTAAAGATTCTAGTGTCGTCCTAACCGTAGTTGAGAAAACTTTAGTGACTTATACATTAAGTGCGCCTCCCTCTTCGTGAGAAGTACTAAGAAAGGTAGGACAGGCGGTGAAGTTCTTTCCGGTTGGCATCTCAAGTGCAAAACGTTCGTTGACAACGTTTCAATCCAAAATGACAAAAAATTGATTCAGCACTTCATGTCATGTAATTAAGTGCACTGCATGCCTTAGCGGAGTACTTAAGAAAATGTGTATGCTCGAAAAAGTTCTCCATCTATGACATATGAAGTGCGCAGCATGCATGAATAACTTCTCCTACCCTAAGTAGAAAATTCATTCGCTAAGCCCTTTATAAAGTGTTGAACGTGAATAAGCAGTGCGTGTCATATAATTAAGTGCACCACATGCATCAGCGAAGTACTCAATAAGTTGTGTACGCTCGAGATAGTTCTATATGTTTGACATATAAAGTGCGGGAGGCAGATGGATAAAGTGTATCTCTCAGGCGATTGATTTCACACACATGAGTGTAAGTTCCTTGTAATATTATGCAATACGGTATTTTCATTTATGGTGGAACTCTAAGTGCGGAAGAATGCACGGATAACTTTTCCACTAAGCATTACGTATGTTCCACATTAAGTGCGCCATTCCTTCTAGTAAAGTATCGAGATTCATATAGATGTTGTTAAAGTTCTTTCTGTTCAGCAAATCAATTGCGAAACATGCGTGAATGACGTTTCAAACATAGATGATGAGGTCCTTTGATACCTCCTTTCCGGTCGACCTCTAAGTGCGACATATGCACGAATAAGTTTTACATTAAGCCCTACTTGTCGTCTAACTTATGTGCGTCATTCCTTCCAGTAAAGTCATAAGATTTGTATGGACGTTGCTAAAGTTCTTTCTCTTCGTCAACTCGGGTGCGAACGTGCGTGAATTATGTTTCAAACATAAATGATGATGTTCTTTGCTAAGTCTTTTTTTGAAACCAAAAAGTTCAAGTGTTGTCCTAACCAAAATTGAGAAGTTATTAGCGGTCTATACATTAAGTGTGCCTCCCTCTTTGTGGAAAAAACTAAAACATGGTATGAATGGCGGTAAAGTTCTTTCCAGTTGGCATCAAAAGTGCACAACGTTTATTGACAATGTTTCAATCCGAACTAACAAAGAGGTGAATAAGCACTTCGTGTCAAATAATTAAGTGCACCACAAGCCTTGGCGGAGTAGTCAAGAACTTGTGTACGCTCGAAAAAGTTCTCTGTGCATAACATATGAAGTGCAGAGCGTGCATGAATAACTTCTCCTACCCTAAGTGGAAAATTCATTTGCTAAGCCCTTTATAAAGTGCGGAGTGTGAATAAGCGATGTGTGTCATATAATTAAGTGCACCACATGCATTAGCGAAGTACTCAAGAAGTCGCGTACGTTCATGAAAATTTCTATATGTTTGACATATAAAGTGCGGAAGGTAGATGTATAAAGTGTCTCTTTCAGGCGATGGAGTTCACATGACCTCGAAGTACTCAAGAAGTTTCGTACGGTCACGAAAATTTCTATATTTTTGACATATAAAGTGCGGAAGGTGGATGTATAAAGTGTCTCTCTCAAGCGATGGAGTTCACATGACCTCAAATGCGCCACACGCAGTTGTAAAAGTTCCTTGGAATATTATGCAGTACGGTGTTTTCATTTCTGGTCGACCTCTAAGTGCAGAAGAATGCACATATAACTTTTCAATTAACTAAGCCCAACGTGTGCTCCAAATTAAGTGCGCCATTCTTTCTGGTAAAGTACTGAGATTCATATGAATGACGTTTCAATCATAAATGGTGAGGTTCTTTGGATAGTCCTTCCTGGTCGATGTATAAGTGCGAAATTATGTACGAATAGGTTTTACATTAAGCCCTACATGTCGTCTAATTTAAGTGCAACATTCCTTCTATTAAAGTACTAAGATTCATATGGACATTGTTAAATTCCTTTCTGTTTGGCAACTCGGGTGTGGAACATGCGTGAATGATGTTTCAAACATAAATGATGATGTTCTTTGCTAAGTCCTTTTTGAAACCTAAAGATCGTAGTGTCGTCCTAACCGTAGTTGAGAAGTTCTTAGTGACTTAAACATTAAGTGTGCCTCCCCTCTTTGAAAGTTATTAAAACCATCGTAGGAAGGGCAGTAAAGTTCTTTCTGATTGGCATCTCAAGTGCAGAACGTTCATTGACAATGTTTCAATCCTAAACGACAAAAAATTGATTCAACACCTTATGTCATATAATTAAGTGCACCACATGCCTTAGCGTAGTACTCAAGAAAATGTGTACGCTCGAAAAACTTCTCTATGTATGACATATGAAGTGGGCAACGTGCATGAATAACTTCTCCTACCATAAGTGGAAAATTCATTCACTAAGCCCTTTATAAAGTACGGAACGTAAGTAAGCAGTGTGTGTCATACAAATAAGTGCATCACATGCATCAGCGAAGTACTCAATAAGTTGTGTACGCTCGAGAAAGTTCTTTATGTTTGACATATAAAGTGTGAAAGGCAGATGGATAAAGTGTATCTCTCAGGCCATGGATTTCACATGACCTCAAATGCGCCATACACATTAGTGAAGGTTCCTTGTAATATTATGAATTACGGTATTTTCATTTCGGGTGCGAACGTGCGTGAATTATGTTTCAAACATAAATTATGAGGTTCTTTGCTAAGTCTTTTTTGAAACCTAAAAGTTCAAGTGTCGTCCTAACCAAAGTTGATAAGTTATTAGCGGTCTATACATTAAGTGTGCCTCCCTCTTCGTGGAAAGTACTAAAACATGGTATGAATGGCGGTAAAGTTCTTTTCGGTTGGCATCAAAAGTGCACAACGTTTATTGACAATGTTTCAATCCGAACTAACAAAGAGGTGAATAAGCACTTCGTGTCATATAATTAAGTGCACCACATGCCTTGGCGGAGTAGTCAAGAACTTGTCTACGCTCGAAAAAGTTCTCTGTGTATAACATATGAAGTGCAGAGCGTGCATCAATAACTTCTCCTACCCTAAGTGGAAAATTCATTTGCTAAGCCCTTTATAAATTGCGAAAAGTGAATAAGCGATGTGTGTCATATAATTAAGTGCACCACATGCATTAGCGAAGTACTCAAGAAGTCGCGTACATTCGTGATTTTTTTATATGTTTGGCATATAAAGTGCGGAATGTAGATGTATAAAGTGTCTCTTTCAGGCGATGGAGTTTACATGACCTCGAAGTACTCAAGAAGTTTCGTACACTCGCGAAAATTTCTATATGTATAAAGTGTCTCTCTCAGGCGATGGAGTTCACATGACCTCAAATGCACCACACGCATTTGTAAAAGTTCCTTGGAATATTATGGTGCACCACATGCATTAGCAAAGTACGTAAGAAGTTATGTACGCTCGGGATAGTTCTATAGGTTTGACATATAAAGTGTGAAAGCTAGATGGATAAAGTTTCTCTATCAGGCGATGGATTTTGCATGACGTCAAATGCGCAACACGCAATTCTAAAAGTTCCTTGTTATATTACGGAATATGGTATTTTCAGTTCTGGTCGACCTCTAAGTGCGGAAGAACGCACAGACAACTTATTAAGCCCTACGTGTGCTCCAAATTAAGTGCGCCATTCTTTATAGTAAAGTACTGAGATTCGTATGGATGTTGTTAAAGTTATTTCTGTTTTGCAACTCGAGTGCAATATAAATGATGAGGTTCTTTGGTAAGTCCTCCCTGGTCGACCTCTAAGTGCGAAGTCATGCACTAATAAGTTTACATTAAGCACTACGTGTCGTCTAACTTAAGTGCGTCATTCCTCCTAGTAAAGTACTAAGATTCATATGGACGTTGTTAAAGTTTTGTATGTTCGGCAACTCGGGCGCGGAACGTCCGTGAATGATGTTTCAAACATAAATGTTGAGGTTCTTTTCTAAGTCCTTTTTGAAACCTAAAAATTCTATTGTCGTCCCAACCGACGTTGAGAAGTTCTTAGTGAATTATATATTAGGTGCGCCTCCCTCTTCATGAACAGTACTACAAAAAATGGTATGAACGGCAGTAAAGTTCTTTCGGGTTGGCATCTCAAGTGCACAACGTTCATTGACAATGTTTCAATCTGAAATGACAAAAAGGTGAATAAGCACTTCGTGTCATTTAATTAAGTGCACCACATGCATTAGCGTAGTACTCAAGATCCTGTGTACGCACGAAAAAGTTCTCTATGTATGACATATGAAGTGCGTAGCGGCCATGAATAACTTCTCCTACCCTAAGTGAAAAATTTCATTTGCTAAGCCGTATATAAAATGCGAAACGTGAATAAGCACTGCTTGTCATATAATTAAGTGCACCACATGCATTAGCAAAGTACTCGAGAAAATTCTATACATTTGACATATAAAGCGCAGAAGGTAGATGGATAAAGTGCCTCTATCAGGAGATTGATTTCGCATGACCATAAATGCGCCACATGCATTTGTAAAAGTTCCTTTGAATATTATGGAACATGATATTTTCACTTCAGGTCGACCTCTAAGTGCGGAAGAATTCACGGATAACGAGTCCATTAAGCTCTATGTGTGCTCCAAATTAAGTGCGCCAACATAGTAGTAGTATACCTTGTTGGAGTAAAACATGTACTTTTGATTTTATTTATCAAAAATCCTGGTTCATCGCATGGTTTTGTTATCATAACTCTGTTTCATCAAGTTTTATTCTGAAAGTGATATGAGATTTTAGCCAAGCTGTTTTTAAATTTTTGAGCAGGCATGTAATTCAGGCAATAGCTGAGCTCCCAGCCTCCTTAGACTGGCATGGGCACATCAATAAGGGCATGGAGCCCATCAAAGAGGAGGTTGGAGCGGCGTTGGACCTGGATCAACTCATCTAAATCAAGCGTCCGGCTACGGCTGGGAGTCCCCAACGCTCCACCTGGACGGCGTCGGCTGGGAGCTGCGACAGCTCCACATGCAATGGCTGGCCAGGGACCAGACCTCGACAGGAACATGTTGCCCTTTGAGCCGGTGCAGAGCGACAAGTTCGTAGCATCGTTATAGTTTTTTGCACAAAGATAGACCCTGTAGTACTACTGATCAGGTGAAACACATCGATGTGGCACTGGTACTGAACTGAAGCAACGATTTGTTCAACAAAATATGATCCAAATAGAAAATGAGTGCGCATATTAGTTTCTATAACAAGGAATTGTCGCCGGTTTTGTGCCATTCATGTGTTTTTTTCCTATATATAGGATTGCTCTTTCGTTTTGGTTTGTCAAGATTTGAAATGGTTGTGGTGGTTAATATCTCTGTAGGTGTTCTTTGACCTCGAGAATGGCAACCAGGAGCTCAAGAGCGACGTCAAGGACCTCTACATCAACCTCGGGCAAGTAAAGACATGTTTGAAGTGGAAATGTATCCATTACCGTTAGTTGTTGTTGTCAACGATTTTTTTGGAGAAGAACTAATAGTATGATAGTGAAGTAATCTAATTCAATTTCCTTTTTCATTGCAACCACTTAATTTCAATCGGGTCAAAATAAAAAATCAAAGACAATTTTTTTCAGCCATAAGTAGAACACCGGAGCTAATTGATACACCATTTTGAAAATTGATAGACTGTTGCAGGGAGAGCAGCACACACAGCGGTGGTCAAGGGCTTAGTGCCTGTTGACCTCGTCCGTGGCCGCTGTTGGTCGGTGAAGGAGGCATGCATGAGGTGGTGCAAGGGCATGCTGGTGACGGAGTCGCGCATCATGAGGCCGGGTGAGTAACGCTCGGGAACTGCCGGGCGCTCAGACTGACACGGGATTGGGTTGGCGTGGTGACTCAAGGAGGAGGATGTAGTTATGGGGGAGGGAGTGACGACGGAGGGGCTTCGATGGCCCAACGAGACCCTACATCATAATCAAGGAGGACCCTACATCTAAAGAAAACAGAGCAGTCTATATCATTAGTCTATTACTGGATTTCTAGAAGAAGGAAAAAGGGAGAAATGGTTGTTTCTGCTACTCTACATTTGCTTTAAAACTGGTGTACATATATCAAGAAGAACTTGGTTGCAAAAGTGATCAAACATAACATTCAACACAAACACATTGGTTTTGTAATTAAATGCCTAAGATCTTATAATTTTGAATTAAATTGTTTGATTATACAATCAGTTCACATTATTTGGTGTAGCATGCTGTTTAACATTTTAGAGTTCCATCCTTTTTAGTAACGAAATAATGATGAACTCATATTAGTGGATCCATAAAAGTGTATGCTATTAGTTTGACGAGGTTATATAGCAATGCAATTCTTATTTGACGAGAATAATGAAAAACCAAGAAGCAAAAGAAGATAAATTTGGAAAGAAGAGATAATTTTTCGCTCGAGGGTGGGGCTGTAAGGAATCCGTGGCACGAGTAAACAAAAGCATCTTGGTCGCCATATAGAAAAACATCTTGGTTGCCTCCTCTCTATCTCGCCCATCTTGTTGCCAGGCATGGAAGAGAGGAGGGAGAGCCGAGGAGCATGGTGGCCTCTGGCTGTTGCCCGGGAAAAGGTAAAGGCCGTGGCACGACTGCCCGTCGCAATGCCGCTGCTCCTTGCGTGCTTGTTTCCCTCCTTACACCCCCACGTCCAACTCGATCTTCGGCTGCCGCAACGTCGTAGATGACCAAGTCTAGCGCCCGCGCCCGCCGCCATCTTGTGAATGGCCAACTGATAGCCGATGATGGGGAAGGTTTCGATAGTATGATAGTATGATGTGTGTTAGCTGATTGTCAAGAAAAAGATGTGAGTTAGTTGAGACGGCTTTATTCTTGGTTATTTTAGCTCCGTGAGTAGCATCTTAAATGTTTCCAAAATCCCGTGGCAACGCACGGGCGTTTTACTAGTATTATTAGTTGCTCAAATGAATATGTCTAGCACTAAAATACATCTAATATATCTGTTTGAGCAACACATAATATGAATGGGAGGGATTAGGTGTAAATTGGAAGTGGCGGCCCCGGCAAGGCCTCGCTACTCGCTAAGACTACGTCCGAAACGGGGATGACACGGCTTGCAGCCGTGTAGCCAGTAGAGAAAGAGAAGAAACTTGATCGAAGCGAGTGGATGGCCTTTTAGCTCCGGCTCCCACTCGGATTAGATAGCTACCTCGCTGGAGGTGGAATGGAAATATTATGCGGTACACAATATGTCAAGGCTGAGATTTGACCCTTCGGCAATGGAGAGATACACTCTGGGCCCACTCAATATTACGGTATCCAACATCGTGTGGCAGGTATAGTGACTAAGGTGTTAGTCGCGAGGATACTGGGATAGAGAGATACACTAAGGAGTTTTAGAATCAAAATCAGGATGTCGTATCCCTTGTTTGTAGGAGGGTTTCTGACGAAAGGAACAATGCTCTACTAGCCCCTTATTTTGCCAAGGATGTGCGTATGGCTCTATTTGATATTGGTGCTTTAAAGGTTTTGGAACTTGATGGGCTTTATGTAATTTGCAATCTGAATTGCGACCTATTCTCTTTCAATACTATGATTTTTTTTCCATAAAAAAATACTATGAAATTCCATTCCCATTAGAATATTCATTGACATGTAAAAAAGATGAAAGCTCTAATATGATAGAAAATAATAATCTATTTTAACCCATTTGCGAGAAAGCGTGAACTAAGAGACTTGAAATTTTGACTTGAACAATAAGAATTTACGATTTGTATAGTCGGATTGAAATTAGCAAGTAAATTGGTTGTCTTATTTTTAATATAAAGTATTGCAATATCTATGAATTACAAAATTCATTTAAGTGAAAAAAAGTGCATTACAGGCGTATGATCGTTACCCATCAAGCAGGTTATTCTATTCCACCTCTATACATATAAAAAAACTAAAAGAGAATACATAATAATACAGTGAAACATTTATAGAACACTTATACCAAGCACACGCAAGGGAAACATAGACGGGCAAGTGAAATCCAATCCACGAAATAATTTAATCCATCGAAGATCAGTGTATCGATTGCTCCTAAAGATGGGAATGCGAAAGAAGATGTCGATGGATTCTATAGCGTGAGCATGCGGTGCACCCCCAAGGGTCTGCTAGACCGGTTGGTGCTCCCGGCTAGTTGGCGGGCGGCTTGGTGAGGTCATCGGATTTCTTGATGTGTGTGGCGAGGTTGTAATTCCAGAGGAGTCATTATTACAAGGCATAAAGAGGGAGGTCATAAGCGCCTATACCTTAAAATAGTTTTTTGATGGATTCAGAAGACATATCTTGTAGAAAGTGTGTGCATGACCATGAGTCATTGTGTTATATCTCATCTACACCTAGTGTGAACATTGTTTAATAGATTGTAGCAGCAGTAGTAGCAATTCATGTTGTTTCCGATCATAGAACAGAACGGAAGAACTTGTATTTTGCACAATCATTTAGTTTCAGCTGTGTTTGTTCCATCTACTTAATCAGATTTCCAAACATAATAATGAAACATCTGTCACATAACACGCTGTCACACTGACAAGCAGTCTGTTTAAAAAGATATGGAATTCAAGGATCATCATTACATTTCCAATACACATCAGGACATTGAGTTTATGTCCGAAGTGCTTTGATTTGTTAAGCTACTCATCTAAACCACGATTCAAATGTTCTGTTGCATTGTGTCCTGATGTGTCCAAGTACGCCACACTTCCCGCACTTTGGTTCTTTCCTCTGCTTCTTGTTTGATCCGTCATTTGTTGGGCACTTCCCAGAGTTGTGTCCCTTTCCCCTGCAAGTTTTACAAAACTTGGTTCTTGGATTGCTCACTTCATAGCCTGGCCTAGATCTTGCGTTGGTAGGTCGCCCACGATCTCTCTTGCGAGATTCTATCCTCATTGATGATTTGAGATTAATGTCGCCTGCATCAACCCCGTTGATATCAATGTTTTCTTTACCTAGTATATCCTCTAGTCCTTTGCCATCTTTCTCAGTTGCTTTTTCTTTGAGATCATCCCTTGCATCTGACAGCCTTACCATTGCAAGGTCGAAGGCCTCAGGGTTGCTGTCACCCATCCTTACAATATCAAGAGCTGTTGTGTAAAGTGTTGTATGCCTGAAGGTAGTTGATTCCAGGATAGGGCTGTGTCCCTTATATATTTTCAAGTGCTCAGGTAAATCTTCACATGCGTTTTTAGTCCACCTCCTCATGATGTGCTCTTCTGGTATCTTCATGAATTACAAGTGTGCCATTACCTGAAACATTAGTTAGCACGTTTTAAACAGATTCAGTAATGGTCTTCAAATTCTAACATAACCTTTTAAGGAAAACATTTTACCCGGATCGCATGGCAGCAGAGCAAACCCATATGCTCATACATTCCACACTCGCATTTGAAGATATTCTCAGGTTGATGCACTTTGACATTGTAAGATGTTTTTGACCAGCTCTCTCTCCGCTCTGCAAAAAGGTGTGTGACACAATATGTATCGTTTATGACCAGAGTGTTCTCGACGTAGTAGGATGCAGATTTGAAGCATGCTTCTTGGAACTGTTTGAACAGCGCAGGTGTGTAAACCTTCGCAGCATGCCTCTCCATAGGCAAAACCGGTCTTGAGCACTGTGCTCACCTATATTAAGAACAATGAAAATTATAGTCAGAATTGTTTGTCCCAACAGTTAGAAAAAGTAAGCTAAGTACTTAGTATTTAGTACAGTTAAGGCCATTAAACACACCAAGTGGCTTTTCTTCTCAGCAAAATTTTCTTCTGAATCACGGTCAAACTGAAGTTTCTGGTAGTTCCTAACAAACATGTGCATTGAGGCACCAGCAGGTACAAAATTCTTCAACATGTGGTTAGCGCTCTCTGACCGTTGGGTGCTTGTCATCCTCGCGCAGAATACACCTGCAAAATATGGCTTTGCCCATTTCTGTCGGAGCTCGTATATCTGTGTCAACATTGGGTGTTCCTGAAGACCATACTTTTGAATCAACTTTGCCCAAGCTGCTTCGAACTCTTCTACAGTGAGCATATATTCCAATATCTTGTGTAGTTCATCCCTGAAATCTTTGTTCTGTGTGTATACAGAGCCAAGGGATTCCTTTGCACGACGCAGCACATGCCATTTGCACCACCGGTGCTTCGTTCCAGGCAATACTTCAGCAATAGCCAACTCCATGGCACGGCATTGGTCTGATAGGAATTTTATGGTCAGTACGTGATAATGAAGGTACAAGATAAATTACATGTTTTGAAATGCATTAGGAGGCTCCAATTATTTACCTGTTAGGATAGTTACCGGTGCTTTACCTCCCATTAATGACACAAATTCCTTGAATACCCACTCGAATGATTCTTGCTTCTCGTTCCTCATCATAACGCCTCCTAATATTATGCTCTGGAAATGATGGTTGACCCCAACAAATAGTCCGAATGGCATATCGTACTGGTTTGTACGATATGTTGTGTCGAATGTGATTGCATCGCCAAACATTTTGTATTGGTATCTACTCCTTCCATTTGTCCACATAAGAGCCTGAATCTTGCTGTCGCCGTCGACAAGAACACTGTCAGCAAACATTGGGTCATTCTTCTTAAGTTCAGAGAAGAGCTGAACCGTTTTCCTTATGTCATCATCTGCAGTTTCTTGGTTCATCCTCTTGCACATGTACTTGAGAGCTCTCTTGTTGAATGGTACACTCTCCATTGATCCAAAGAAGCTTGCGATGACACAAAAAACCTTGGTTATCCCAATGTTGTTGCTCCTCAAGTGCTTGACAATATCTTTTGTGTGTGTGTCAATGTTCCTGTGTGATGGCCAATGTAGTTTCTCGCCACACGATGAGGACAAATGGTGGTTGTGTTCAGATCTAAAATCATGTATATACCATCCATTGTCGGCTGTGCGGTGTAGCCTGATCAAGGCTTGGCAGTTGCAGGCTACTGACTTTGTGTTTTCTTTCTTTGGCCTTCCCTGAAATTATAACGGTAGCGCAACATTAGTATTTTTAGTGGCTAAGAAGCATGTCATCCAAAGAATCACTTGATGCTGTCTATACTCACCGCACAGCCGCAAACGATGTCCTGAACGGTTCTGCTCTTCTTTGCATTTGTCCTAGATTGACCATATCTGATGCCAAACCCAATCTCCCAAGAATAAAGATTATAAAATTCAAATGCCTCCGCAAGTGAGTCGAACTCTCTTCCAATCTCAGGGGCGACAACTTGTCCAGACTTCCTTTGAACAAATTCACGCATTGCTTTTTCAAGCGCACAGACCCTTCCCTGTTTAGGCTGCCGCTGATCTGGTATTTTCCCACAACGTATCCTGACAGAAATGAAAGTAAACTTCTCAGGGAAAGACTGAGTTATGTGGCGAATCTTATCTGCATTTTCATGAAAGACTAAGTTTCAATATGATTTTTGCAGAGCTATTTGGAGTCCTAGATGACCATAAAAAGCTGTCACAACCCATAATTCCTCGCATGTAAAACTAACCATACTGCACATACAGCAGTTACCAGTTCATGGAGTTCTGAACTTTATGGCTGCTCAATGTTATATGATTAACGAGATATGCACACAAGCTACAAATGGTTCAGACCAAAAAGTTCAGTATGTAACCCAGATTAGAATCCAAAGTCCAAAAAACAGATTCAGTCCCAGCTTCCTCTACTGCAATGTAAATATTGCAGTGATTGGAGTTGCATATAGACACAGTTTCTTTCACTGAAAAAACCACCATGTTGACTGTAATCGCTGATAAGTTAGTGCAGTATGCAACTCCTTGTAATCGGTAAACACAAAGCATTCAACAGGATGCAAAGGAAAAGAACATGGAGACCTAAGCGGCAGATGTGGTTACCTTCTCTTCCATGGACATTGGTCAGGACGAGATTGGTCTGACTGAACCAGGTTTGGCTTGTTGGTTTGCTCTGACAGCGGCGACTCCAAGCATTCATCTCCTGACCAAGTGTATCCATCGAGCTCTGGCGTTGGCGAGCGGAGCTTGGCATCGTCGTTCTCACAATTCACCTCGCCGTCGGCCTCATAGATGGGGGAAGTTGGATCTGGTATGGTGGGAGAGGACTGAAATTGATCCTCGGTGTCGATGCCGCCCCCGCAATGGTTTCCGCCCTCCGTCCAATCTGTCTCTCCCACATACTCTTGTTCTTCTTGCTGGGTCCAACAGAGATTTGGATCTTGGGAAGGGATGGAGGAGAAGCTGTCCGCCGGAGGGCATGTGAGATGAATCGTTGAGGAACAAAGATTTGAATGGATTGCCAATGGGTTTGAGCATACCTTAGAAGTAGTTGGGTGAACGATCCAGGCGCGAGGACCATCCGTGGCGGCGGCGTATCCATCGCCGGACGGGAGATCTTTTGCGGAATTCTCCGAAATCTCGGAGCTCTAGTCAGGAACTGGGAGCTGTTCAAATTTTGAATGGTTTGCTCCTCCCACAGGGTGGGGTCGTTTCCACAGCACAGGTATGGGCCGCCGCTCGTATCTGAATACGTATGGTAGAAATGGTCTCTGTATTCCTGGCGTATTGGTTTAGGAAAAGATGTGAGGTGGGGTCGGAGAGAATTGCCACATGGGCTGCGGGTCCGGCTGGTGTGGATCCACACGCGCTCGCGAGCGGTTGGGATAGCCGCTGTGAACGGAACGCGAAAGTAAAAGGCTTTATCGAATACTCACTCATGCCGTTATACAGGTTCAGACATTAATTGATTACTTACTACTTAGCGCTCGGGAGCCAGTCTGATCGACCGACTCCGCACTTCTACTATGTACTCTACGGTCGTCCTCCTCCGCCGGCATGTTCTATGATAGGTAGCTAAGGCAGGCGGGAGGAGGAGTAGCTTGTTATTCTTCTTCTTCCAGGAGATGAGACGAGATGCATGAGGACCGTCTCTGAATGATCCATGGCCAAAGACACAAGAATCAGCTGTCTAAATAGTATTACGTACTAGGTATAGCTAGGTGTGTGGCGGGAGGTTATCTCTCCACGGCAGCCGGCGGTGGCGGCTGCCGCACGAACTGCCCGCGCACCCGCGGGCGCTGCTCCGCCAGTCTCTTCCGGCTCTGGTAACGCACCTGCAAAATGAGTTACCCATTTTTCATCAGCCATCACGAACAAAACCCTATCAGAAGAATGAAACGAAGAACAGAGAACAGACGGAATCGGCTTTCGGAAAAACCCAGCACCTTCTTCCCGAAGTTCCTCTCTTTTCTCTTCTCTCTGAACTTGTTCACGGCGGCCACCCGGCGCTCCCGTTTCATGTGCATCATGTTGCTTCTTTTGTCGATGCCACCGGTCTCAGCATGTACAGCAGCAGCAGCACCAGCAGCAGTAGCTGCGGTGCTCCCATTATTGGTGTTGTTATTACTGCCAGAGTTGCTACCATAGTTGGCAGCATGACCTTCAACCGGACCCGATGGATTGACCAAACTGGACTGAGCAGTGCCTCCTGCCGATCCACCATTCGCGTCATGGGCCGCTGCGCAGGGGTGTTTGCTCTGTGCTTCACCACTCATGTCTTTCGCTGCTGCGGCTGCGGTTGCTGCATTCTTCTTGCTCGTTTCATCAGCCTTGTCTTTCCCTGCTGCTGTTGCCGGCGTCCATGGCTGCACACGATGGAACGCCGAGGTGTGCGTGTTGCCGTTGATTGGCGAGACCTTATTATTTCCACCGGCGGGCTTGGTGACCACGCTCTTGGTGGTGGAGCCCATGTCGTTGTTGTTGCTGCTGCCGTTGGAGCCTTGCTTCATCTGAGCGGCGTCCGTTTTCGCGGCCTCGGAGCTGTTGCCGTTGGGCGAGCAGCTCCCGACGAACCCTGCGCCGCCTTGATTGGAGACCGCGCACGTATTGTACCTTGCAAAGAATGAAAACGGTTAGTATGCAACATATGGATGATTTAAGGATTCCCAAAGGACACGGATTTCATGCTTTGCACCTCGTGAATGCCGAGAGGTCCGACCGTCTCACAACGTTCCTCCGTTCCTCCTGGATCGCAGCATCCGCGCCGTCTGCGGTCGATCTCGACCTCTTTAGGCTCAGCTCAAGATATGGCATGGCGTTCTCACGGTCGGCGTCTTTACCTTCCGGCACTTGTGACGAGCAGTTAGGAGCATCTATGGCTCTAGCTGCCTGTTGGGCGTCCATGTTTTTGGCCATCGAACCAATCAGGTCAGCAGCTCGAACAATTGGCTCATCTGAATTTTCCATAACTGTATCATTGGAGTTGTTCTGTGGCAGATACTCACACCGTCCATCAGTTGGTTTGACCGAACTCTCGTTCGGGGAGGACTGATCATCTGTGTTCAAATTACCAGGGGCACCTATCTCCAACTCCTTCCCTTTGAACTCATCACCTGGAAAACATAATCGAATTTAGTCAATACAAAATGGAACAAGCAGCCTTTGGTTCAGTTGCACAGTGAGCTGGTTGAGCACTTGAGCATACCATACCATTAGTTTCTTTTGGTTTCTGGCATTTTTTGTTATCTGTACCTCTTAATCTGTTGCTGCATATCTCTGACTTCAGGTGGCTCACATGCGCGCAAGTGCTATCAGGCGGATCAATTGACTGATCTGGAGACATGTCCTGTGGACTGTCGATCTCAACGGCACGCTTTGTCCATGAGCTCTGCGCCTTAAAATAAATTGATGAGAAAACTAGTTCAGATGCAGATACTTCTCACAGATGTAAGTATTCTGCTTACAACGGTTATTTCAAATTTATCCAAAGTCCAAACAACTAGCATGTGTTTCAAATCTTACTATCCAACAGTTTCCAGTGTCTGGCAGTTTCCCAGTACATTTTAAGCAAAGACTACTACTACACTAGAATAAAATACACATGCAAGTCAGACTTGTCTAAGTCCGTTAGGTAACGAAGAGAGTAAGTCATGTTCTAGTCACAGATAATTAGTTCGCCATATGGACAAATTGGCCTCTAGTGCACTAGGAGAAGCAGTTAGTTCCATTCAGTTTTATCTAGCTTCCTTATCCTAATAATTGTTCTGTTCAGTCTTGTCTGAAAATATCACAGATAGTAGTATACCTTAAGTACACACACAAAAAAAAACATAAAAATCTCATACCTGAGTGCCACTGCCATTATCGCTGCCATCCCTTGCATTGAGCCCCATGCTGGCGTCGTCGTTGCGATTATTGCTGTTGTTGTTGGAATCGTCGCCGCTCTTTGATTTGGTACACTTCTGAGTCTGAATGGCACTTCCACTACCACTGCCACTGGACTGAGTTCCAAGAAAACAACTTAGCTTTAGTATAATAATCACACACGTTGACCCAGAAAAGGATGCACTAGTAAGCTGCAAGGACACAAGTGAAACTAGGAACTGAAGCAGAAGCAGCAGCAGCAGTATTTCTGAATGATGATACATACTACTACTGTGGAAGAACAGAACAGACACCATCAGAGATAGTAACTTACGCTGTGAGAGCGTCTCCACACATGCGCCCAGAGGTTCTTAAGCTCGTTCTTACGTATCGGCTTGGCCAAGAAGTCGGCAGCACCATTTGACAGGCAACTGAGGACCGTGCCCATCGAATCGTGCGACGACATCACTGGAAACCAAGAACATATAAATCTATGCACGCAGCAGCACTGAAGCAAATGAACCTGATACTGAAACATTTTAGCGCCGAGGTGGGGTGGATCGAGGTGCTTACTGATGACGGGGATGTCCTTGCAGACCTCGTGGTTCATGATCCTGCCGAGCAGGTCGATCCCGGACAGGCCACCGTGCATGAAGACCTCTGTCAGAACAAGGTCGATGTTGCTCTGCATGTCCTGAAGATACGCCCACGCCTGGTGGCCATTTTCAGCAGGGATAACTGAAACATGACACACAACCAACGCCCAAATTCAGTACGTCCATGACGACCGAGCCTGTGCAAATTAACACTGGTAGTAGCTGAGACAGAGTATGGGTAAGCACCTTGGTACATGCAGTGGCGGAGCAGGGCGGTGACGACCTGCCGGGTGGAGTCGTCGGTCTCCACGAGCAGCACCCTGATGGTCTTCCTGTGCAGGAACTCCTCCCAGCAGCGCGGCTGCGCGGCATGCTCCTCCTGCGGCGACGGCGGCTGCTGCTGCTGCTGCTGGTGGTGGTGGTGATGACGGTCCATGGCGCTAGGAGGAGGCGGCCTGGCTCCAAGAGGAAACACGTTGGGGTCGTTTGGTGGTGGACGGGGAGGGAGAAGGTTCCGCCCATTTCAAACCATCCCTCTGTTTCTCTTTACTCCGCGTTTAAGATTTGTCTGATGCCAACTTTATAGAAAAAAATATCAACCTTTATAATACGAGACCAGTATCTTTAGATGCACCATGCAATTAACTTTCATAATGTGCGACTTTAGCATTGTATAGATGTTGATGTGTTTTAGTAAAGATTTGGCCGAACTTTTCGGTGTTTGACTTCAGGCGAATCGCATACGCAAAGTATACTAAAAAAAGAAACGGAGGGAGTACGCCACCATTTTTTAAAAGAAAAAACTTTGAGCAAAATCCGTGCGACACTCTAAGAATTAGTTAATTAGCAATATTTTATAAAAATAATTGAAACTTGAAAAAAAACTAAATAATAATAATCATAAATGGTTTCCTTAGTTTGTTGGTAATCTTTCAACCTATTCTAGGTAGTTGTTTAAGATAATGGAAATCATTCAAATTTGGTTAAAGCTTGATTTTTTTTCTTCAAAAGCTGGTATAGTAAATCAAGCATGTTGTCCTTTCTACTCTGGTCAAATATTTAAGATGAATGAAGTTATCATTTTTGTTGGTCAAAAAATTTGCACGAATTTTGGAGCTTTAGGAACAAAACTGAGAAGGTTACAGTAAAACTCACAGAGATGGGCGGGATCAAGTTTGTTGGTTCAAACGGAGAGCTTTTAGGGGCTGTTTAGGTTGTGGCCATGTTTTCCATATATTGCCATATTATTTTTGCCATACTTTTCTAACTTGAGTTGCTCAAATTGTTAGCCACACTTTGGCTTGCCTAACGAAATTTTGCCACACTTTTTGTGTCTATGACATGTGGGGTTCACTGCTCATAAAAACATTTTTGCTTAGGTGTGGCTAGAACCAAACACACACCTAACTTAGTCAAATTTGTCTAAAATAAGGTGTGGCAAAGTGTGGCAAGATGTGGCTAGAAACCAAACAGCCCCTTAGTCTTTCACCATGTTTGCAAAAATATTGATCTAACAGGTAAACATATTAAACCTAGCAAGATTTTATCTCCTACATAATCATCATGTCGTCAACTCACGGCAAGGATGACAATGGGCAGGGTATGAGTGGATACAACCCTTCTACCCAAACCCATACCCACGGAAACTTTCTATGCCCACCCACTTCAGTACCATTGGGCACAAATTAATAGCCATGCCCATACCCATCAGGTATCTTATACCTAATGGGTATCCAGTGGGAATAATATATACTATTTACATTTAATAAGATAAAATGAGTGTAAAATTCAAGTGATGATGGGAAACTAGCCTAGTACCGGCATTGCCTCCTTCGATGGGTGACCTCTTGGAGGCGACAATGAAGTATGAGCAGTGGGTGGTGGAAGCCCAACGTAGTGGGAGGCGGCGGTGGGAGTTGGGGATCACTAGATTAGGAGTTGGACAAAAGTGTGGCGGCAATGAGTCAGGATTTCATAATTTAGAGGAATCACGTAGGACATAGGAGGAGTGACGAGTTGGTGGCTGCGAGCCTATGAGATATGATTGGTTTAGGGAATAAGGGATTTAACATTGGGCCATATGAGTTGGATCTTCACCTGACATTTCATAGGAGTTATTTTCATTTATTAACTTTTTCTGGGTATCCATTGGGTTACCCATGGGCACTATTTCATACCCATACCTGCCCATGTATTTTGTGGGTATAGATAACCATTACCCGTGGGTATAAAGTTTTGCAAAGTCTCGTCCATGCTCGTTGTTTTCGGTTAGGGTACCCGCGGGTACCCATACCCATGGGCAAAACTGCCATCCCTACACGGCAGTATTGTATCTATACCTTGTGTGAATTGAAAATCTTAGTGCTGTATATTCTGAAGCTGAAAAAAATCATGTGCTATTTTGAGCACATGAGCAAGTTTTTACTGGTATATATGAAATGTTCTTTAAGTAGTTTGATGGGTAAGAAATGCGGCACAATCTTCTTGAATTTAACTTATTTCTTTAATATCCCTTGCTAATTAAAATAGTTTATGGACGAGAGTGTGGTGGTGAGCTAACCGCGGGTTTAGTTACTCCAACCTTGATGTTGTCAGGCCGTACTTTGGCCACCATATATAGTTCGTATGTTTTGATCCACTCTGCATATTAGCTTTGTCCCGAGCCAGACTATATAAAGTTTGATCAAATTTATAAAAACCATTATAAATATTTATAATAACAACTAATCTCTCTGTAAATAAATATAAGACGTTTTAGAAGTATACAGTCTGTATGATATGTGAGTGTATTCATTGGTGCATCTAATGCTATTGATTAGATACTGTAGATGTTAATATATATTTTTATAAATTCGATCAAAGTTTGACTTACGACAAAACTGATCTAGAAAGTAAATAAAAACGGAGTGAGTAGTAAGTAGGTCAAGGGAGTGTCGGCAAAGTAAGTCATACTATTAGTGAAGACCGTCGTTAGGTCGTGTGACTGTACATGCCATCGTTGTAATGTGGATGCATGCACGTGGCAGGCAGAATCAAGTTGAGAAATGATAAGGTTCTTTCTTTTGATAACCATCGTGAGGCAACGTGAGCCACTAGGATGTTCCTGTATCACAAGAGCACAAGCTAAGGCCGACACATCATCTCACCATAATCTACTCCCAGACTATCTTTTGACACACTGCACGACATCCGCATATGCATGCCAATATTCAGTTTTCTCAGCCTCTCACCTAAATCTACTGTGTTCATGTGTTTTCTGCGTCGACTATCTCTGCATTCCTTTGAAAACGAAAATAGTTTGATCAAATATAGAGGTAATAAAACGCCCGCAAAGAAAAATAAACAGTGTTAATAAAGCCACGGGTGAGGGCATGAGGCACTTTGGAGGTCAGCCTCCATTGAACCCCCTGTTTTTAGAAAAATATGAAATACATATTTAAAAGTATCAACAAATTCTGCACAAAATCCAACATGTACATATACACTACATATGCGTAAACTTTCGTTAGAAGATAGCTTACCATGTGTGCACACAAAAAGACAAATCTGTGGATTTATTACCACACAATGTGAGTACTATTTTCTTTTTTCAGATTCACGTATTTCGGTTTTTTGCGCTTGTATATACACATGTATTACATGAAAATTAATAGATACATTCACCATTCCTATATGTACATGTAAAAAAAAGTCAGATATTTTTGGGCTCTTTGAATATATTTTTCCTTTTTTTTGGTAAACCTGGCTTCACTGGAGCTTTGGGATTCTAAAGCAATTTCCATAGAAATGAGAGCGGTGTTTCGGAGCTCGGGTGCATCTGCACCTATGTGAATAGTAAATTCAAAAGAAATACCAAACAAACTAAAAAAAGTCTGAAATTTTTACACATCAAAGATTAGAGACTTTTCTAGGTGCTTGCAAATTTTTGCACTGAGATAACATCCGAGTAGCTTGGTACAAAAAAAATGGAGCTAAAAAATGTCCAAAGGTGCAACAAAATTCAAGCTCTGATTTTAATTTTTCATACCAAGCTCCTCCTATGTCATACGAGTGCGAAAATTTGCAAGTATCTAGAAGTGTCGATCATCTTTGATGTGTTAAATTTTCAGATTTTTTTTGAATGTTTTAGATATTTTATTTGAATTTTGTGTTTATATGTGGAGCATCTGAGCTCAGGATCAGAATTGGGTTTCCGTAAAACCACTGCCTTCATAAATATACTGACTGAACATCCGAGTAAGGCTGTTTTAACTTAAAAAAAATCGTGGGCCTTTATTCCTAAATGATTTCTCTTTTTTTACTTTATTATAGAAACTTAGCTCTTAGGGAATGACCACACCTTTTCCTTAAGAATGTGTAAGTGTGTTGATTCACGTGTATAGTTTTGTTTCAAGAAATACTTTTATGTTTCGCCAAGAAAAAGCCTTTTATTATACAATTTTCTATTGGGTTTGACTACCATATTGTACCAGCAAAAACTGATGGTCAGAATTACGTTCCAACCTTGGGGAGACTGAGGGAGGAATATGTAAACTATCGTCAAACTTTGCTTCTTCCTTTTTTTTTCTCACGGAGGGAACTAGAAAATACAAAATATATACCCTCTCTATTATTTGTGCTCACATATACTTATTATATGCTTTCTGGCCGGAAAGATTTGTTTTTTTTTTAAGAAAAGGAGGATGACCCCCGGCCTCTGCATCTGGGAGATGCATACGGCCACTTTATTGATTATTCTCGAGGACCTTACAAAGTATTACAACAATATGCCTGAATCCGCCATCTTGACAACATATGCCACTACTCCTATCCAAATGATGCAGGGGTGCTACCTGGGCCACATACCCAGACTACTCACCTAATCCTATCATCCAAAGCCAGAAGCCCCATCCAAGCCACATACTGGGTCTGGGGCATAAACTGGTCTGACGCACTCACATGTGTCGTCACCGCCATCTTCCACATGTCCGTCTTCAGAGCAGATATTGAGGCTTCTACCTTGTGAGGTCACTCCATCATCGACGCCGCCTTGACGCCAGACAACTACCTCCACCTGCGCGAGTCCATCACCGCGCATCGGGCGCCGAGTCTCCACCGCACCACGCCGCCGAGATCCGCCGTCATCAATGTGAAGGATGAAGCACCGCTCCACCAAAAAGGCGCCCGCTGGTCCCTCGATCCCGTGTACGCCTCCAAGAATGACGCCCCCAAGGAGGAAACGACACCAACGCGCCGCCGTCATCCGATCAACTGATCTAGGGTTTCCCCCGGAGGTAGCGGATAGAGGTCTAGAACTTCTCCACGGCGATGCCTTCAAGAAGGTAATGACACAACAGGGTGTCACCAACGCCGGCCATGGCATGAAGCCGAGCACAAGGTTTTCACCCGGATCCGCTCGAAGAACCTCCATCACATAATGTGTGCACGGGTCGCCGC